GGTTTGTTGGAATTGTAACAAACCGGGTCACTTCAAGAAAGATTGTCGTCTTCGCAAAGTGAACAAGGATGATGTTGGACCAAGTGGATCCAAGGATCCAGAAAAGCGACAAGGTCAGATTTCTGTTTTCATGCAGAATTCTAAATATATTCAGAATTATATTTCTGTGATTTCTGAAGCATTTTATGTGCATGATGATAATGTTGCATGGTGGGTTGATTCGGGATCAACAAGTCATGTTTGCAAAGATCTATATTGGTGATTTTCTATCACTAATATTATTTAAGTGTAATGGGATTAATTTTTTGATCAATGTCACTTTGATGATTATCGAAAAAATTAGTATGGGGCGGAGTGCACATTTGTTTGATTTTGTCATTGTTGAAAGTATACTGCTATTTAGGGGCGAAGCCCCTGAACTGACGGGGGTCCGGGGGCAGCGCCCCTAGGAGCGGGGTCCAAGGGGCGACAGCCCCTGGCGGGGTGGAAGGGGCAGAGCCCCTGGCTGGGGTCGAGCTGCATGACCGTTTTGTGATCCGTAATTTTGGTAAAAACACCCGGTTTTGTGATCCATTTATAGACCCGGTTTTATGTTGGTTTATGACAGGTAATATGACCGTTTTTTGGATAGGAAGTTGTTTTCCTGTAACTACCATATGACGGTTTTAAGACAGGAAGTTAGTTTCTGTTATATGATCATTTTCGAATTCATTTTGGGTACAGATTTCATAACATATTCTTCATTCTCCCTTTTAGAAAACCAGTGAGTTTCATCCGATTAGATATTTTGAGTGTACCCTCGAAATGCTTTAATCTGAAATTGTTTCACAACTCTCACTGATCCAAGTATATCTATATCCCGATTTTCTAACAGGTGATATAGGTGCATCGTCTTTGATACTGGAAGCTATTGCATCTAATGATTTGTGGATTTAACATGCGTTTTTTAGGGCTACAAGGTCCGATAACTAAATAATATTCTTAGTAGTTCCCCTATTTTAAATGATAATATGATCGGCAAGCACCCGATATATCTTTCACGGTGAGTGGAAGATAATACTATAACATCCTAACTTTCATGACCAAAATTTTTGTTTTTAATTAAGTAACTTATAAAACTGTTTACTGAAAAACTTCATCGAATCATATCTTTTCATAAAACCATAGTCACATGTCTCAAACCATATCATAAAATAGTAACAATGTCAGAGTACAATCCTATGAATCTCATAATGTGGAAATCCTGTGTGTGTGATGCGCTGCTACCGTTCCGGCTCCTTCCCCTTCGACGAAGAGGTACCTGAAACAAAACTGAAAACTGTAAGCACAAAGCTTAGTGAGTTCCCCCATCATACCACATACCATACTCTAAACATACTGACAGACATATCTAGGGGCCCGACCTACCCTGCTAAGCATACCGGGGTGCCTAACCTACCCCTGTCAGACATACCGGGGTGTCTGACCTACCCCTCCGGTTTATCTCAACCGGTTACGGGGACTATTCACCCCTACTACTACCACATAATAATATAACATAATCATAATGTCAGGTATACCAGGGTACCCGACCTACCCCTTCGGTCTTTACAACCGAAACATGGGGTACTACCACTACAACTTAACATCATATCATACTAGCACATAAAAACATATCAGACAGTGGCAGAACCAGGTAATTATCACAAAGATAATTAGCTGACAAACAACTCCTACTAGTGGGCCGACATTGTAGCCGTAGACCCACTTCTACTGGAAGGTAACTCACATCGATGTTGTGCAGTAACTGACGATCCTCGGCGCTGGAATCGACTCCACTCAAACTCTTACACATAAAATGTTGGATTAGGTGTCTAAGCCCATAACTATAATTGGTATGTACTTGAATTGATAGCAGCACAATCCTTTTGGGTTGCCCTCAACCTACCAACTGGACAAGGAAATTATGAAAGGAGAGATATTAATTTATAAGATTA